CTCTGTGCATTCTTTCAATCTTTTTTATGTTTCCTGCATCATTTTACATGGAAAACTCACAAATTCAAATTAATAGAATTACACGGGACAATGATGAGTCATGTTTTCTTCCTTAGCTGCCCTTTCATGCTCTTTTGTAGGGAAAAAAATGGCGGGAAGAGCCTCCATGGCGAAACTCTTTCTTATGCAAAGAATAGTGGTTATTGCCCTAGCAGGAAGTCTCAGAAATTCCTTTGGACCCACAGATCTATCAGGAATAGCAGAACTCAGTGTCCGTGGATCGCACCTCTTGTGCCCACACAGGGCCTCCAGACTGAGCTTCAGGTGGGCCGGTGGCGGATGCTTGAAGTTCGACTCACCTTTTTCCTGTATTTCAGATCATCAAGAAGGCCCTGACCGAGGACAAAGATGTCTCCACGAAAACATCCGCTGCAGACCTTGTGACCGACACGGATCACCTGGTGGAAAATCTAATTATTTCTGAGCTGCGCACCCAGTTTCCTTCGCACAGGTAGGTGTCTTTGTTGGGGACAACACCCCACCGCCCCCTGCCATCTTCGTAAGCAGCCCCAGGGTCCCGCAGAAGGGCGTTGTGCCGAAGCTGATGATGGAAAAACCCATACAAAGTAAGAGTCATGGTTGGAGCCCACACACTTCAATTGTAGAGCAACCAAGATGGTCCCTGTTTTCATTCTTTGTACTCTTGTCATTGTGGCAAGGGGACTTCTTGTAAGCAATCAGATGAAGAAGAATGAGTAGGGCTGTGTATGTAGATGGCTTTTTATTTCATAGGACTGGAATTGATTCCTCACATCAGGGTAAACCAAAATCAGAAAACCAAACCTCCACTATGGTGTGGTGTGTTACTCTGGGTAGTCCAGAGAAACAAATCCACAGAAACTCACATGTATAAGAGAGAGTCTTATAGAAAGGGTAAGTGTACACTAAGAAAGCATCCCAACCCAGTGCTGTCCAAGCCCACAAGTCCAACATTAGCCCATATGTCCGGCACCAATCCACAAAGTCCTCCTCCATCTCACAAAACACACAATGACGCCGACTGCAGGAGGAAAGCCGAATCAGTGAATGTATAAGCATCTCCGTGCTGGCAGAGGTCTCCACACGGCTGCTCGAGCACCCAGGGCTGCATCGGGCTAGGTCTATGTGGCTTCTCCTCAGGGATGTCTTGCAGGAAGTGAGCCTTTCAAGCTGAAGCAGGGAACTCGCTAAGGCAGCTGCACCCTGGTCCAACCATCAGAAACAAGAGACCTGAGAACTAGAAAGGCGAGGCTCACCGAGCCATTTATCTCTCTGCCCTTCAATTAACCCACATGTATTTATCAGCCATGTTGGCACAATAAACCTGAACTATTTCAAGTGGATTCCGACTCATAGTGACCCTGTCTAGGGTTTCTGAGACTGTAAGCCTTTACAAAAGTAAACAGGCTCATCTTTCTCCAGTGCCATGGCTTGTGGGTTTGAACACCTTTCCTTACCTTGTGATTCCACAGTGTCACCAAGGCTGTGTTTATGTCAGGATACTACCTTACAAATATTGAAAAGGCACTATTTTTATAGCATACTCGGGATAAGCCACTTGCCATATGTGGGGCTTCAAAAAGTTAAAGTTCCTGGAAAAATTCTATTATCTCTTAATTCCAGTTTCCTGCTAACTTTTTTAAGATGCTTCACTTTTCTGGGGGTAATTAGTAGGAGAACAACCTACTCCAGAAAGTCTGAGCAGCCTCTCTCCCCAAAATGGGGCATAAGGTCAGGTACCCCTACCTGCTGTCACGATACACCCCTTATCTAGGCCACAGTTGATCTAGGCCCTGTTTTTTTGCCTCCTAGATATGACAAGGGCAGGTGTGAGAACCCTACTCTCCTCTCTCTGTCTAGGTCAAAAGCTCCTAAACTTTAGAGGGCTCACCCTATGGAGCATCTGATATGAGTTATTCATCATTTCCTCAGGAAAATGTACCTCCAAATGTGCATTTGAATTTTCCTCAGGAAAATAGACGTAGTTGTGTTTGTAGACTGCTGAAGGAGTCTGGTACCAAGCTGCAGATTCTTCTTTACCTCCGGGGCCTACTCAAGCTCATTCCTTACTCCTGGGGTTCTAGAGAACATATTTTGAAAACCATTGTTTTTGTCGCAAGAGATCTCTTTCCCTTGTTTAGAATCACCTAAAGACATGCGATTCCAAAAATTACAATGTGAGTTATTTGATTACTGGGCATACATTTCTGTAGCTGTCAAATTC